ATTCAGTTACAAAAAGTTACAAGCTCAAACAGCAATTATCACGAGAAAACTAGCACGCACCTTGCGAGCGTACCCCATGTTCATCGGGGGTACCCGCGTTCGGTGCGCGCTTCATTCACAAAATGCTCCGAGCACAGTCAAGAGGATGGCATTGAGGACGCGTTTTTTGGTTGAGGGATGCCACCCACTGCCGCCGAAGATCGGGGTGACATTGCATCCGCACTTGCCGGATTCCGTGCAAGCTACATAGGTTCTCGGTACGTATTCGACGCTTTATGTCGTTATTCTTGCACCCTATGACCACGCAATGGTGTCTTGATGGCCAGGGCATTGTCGCCGTTCAAAACCGTGGCTATAATTAAGATTGGGAGTTTAAAACAGAAAATAAAGCGCGAACGAGGTTCGGGCAATGCATACACCCAACACCGACGAAGCCTCTCGTCCGGGACTTTTTTTCTTCCTACCGCTCCAGTAAGGGGAAAAGCGCCGGCAGCGCTTTCTCTCTAGCACTAAAAATGGCGCTACCCACGTTACAACGGTCTACAGTTCTAGGCGAGACAGTTATCGTCACTACCTGTTGAGGTTCCTAGACGGTCATTACAAACGAGGCTTTAGCAACATCCACCAGGTGCTCTGTGCTAATCGTTTAATTTGTTTTAGAATTAATTTTCTTATACTTTTTAACAAGATATTGGTGTGTCAGATGTGATACTGCTCCTTTGAACACGTATGGACAAAAAAATAAGCGCCGAAATTTTGAACAATTTTGAAACACTTAGAAAATGAGAATCTCAATATGACAACAAAGTGGCTCAAACGTGTCCCTGAACCTATTAGAGAAATGCAAAACAAGCGTATTCCCCCCTTCCCTTCCCTTCCCTTGCCCCCCCCCCCCCCCTCCCTCTTCCCCCGTCTTGCAATTAGCGGAATCGGTCGTGACGTTCCTCGGAGCTCTCCGCGGTAATCTCGTTCATAGAGTTATTAAAATGTACGCTAGAGGTTCAACTGGCGCTAGCGTGCTGCTGCAACTTGAAGCAGACTGCAATCAGTAGGAAATTGACTTCCGGTAATGTATTTATATGAGAAAACTTTGTCCACGAAGCAGGCATGGAAAAATATATATAGTCACCTTCCCCTTATATCGCTTGCCCAGGCCTCGTACCCACCGGAACAATCCCTTTTCGCACACCCTTTAAAAGCGGTTTATTAAATGTCTTAGCTATTTCTACCGTGCCAAGAAAATGGTGCACGGCACGCGTGGTAACTTGACACCGGACGCGGCCATATCGGTTTTGCCGAATAACTGCAAGATTTTCTTGCCGTCCAGAAAGTGGGCTTGAATAAACCCGCCTAGAATAATCAAAGGCTGTACAATAAAATTTTGATGTCACCACAGTGAGATCGAGCGCAGACACAAATTGAACACGAGGGCAGCGTCAGCGTTCGGCTGGAAGTCGTGTCCAGACAAATCATAGCGGAAGATATGTAAAGATATAGAAGATATAAAAACCGTACGCGACTCGCAGAACGATCAATGTAATCCGTACGCCAGGCGCCAAGGGGCGGGTAACTGCCGTCCGAGCGGTCAAATTCCGTCCGAGCCAAACAGAGTTCAAGTGGCACACTTGTGTCTTATCTTTTTTATACATAATTATAATCGTAACATCAGGCGCACCATATTTCCAGCCATGAAGAGCAATTACTACTTTTAACTTTTACGCGCTGATTAAAACCTTTTCGCGCTACGATCGCTAGGGGATTATGTTCGGCTTCTGGTTGGTCAAGAAAGCATGCCAAGCCCTCTATCCGCGTCTGGTGCACGCCCTGGCTCTGCCCGCCTCTCCCATTGACCAAACTCTCTCTATAAAGGGCTCCGCTGCTACGTGATACTGCTACTTCAGCCTGCTGGCGCCACGTTACGGTATATAGGTGATCCTGAGGAACAGCAATCACCAGCCGTGCGCTGTGCTGACCGTGCGCTAGACAAGCTGTGAACCTCGTTCAGGTCGCAGAAAAGCCTTTAGCGAGCACCTTCAATGACAAAGCGAGGCACTTCATCGGCGACAGCGTCTTCCATAGGGAGCCATTCTGTTGGCAGGTCAGGATTACAGGAGGTCCTGGAAACGCAGACCTCCAGTGGCCATAAGGAGTTGCGTAGACTTAGCGTGGAGTTGGAGTAGGGCCCGCTGCGTACCATACATTTCTGGCGGCCCGGATACCACTCCAGAGTGGTGCATGACACTCCCGGGTCGGGAGTGTCATGCGCTAGCAGCCGCGCATGCAGCTACAGTGAACTAGAATATTAGCGGCAAGATGTTTTGGTAGCACCCTCCTATGGTTCCATTTCGTGACGTCATTACCTCGCGAACAACAAGTTCGATGGAGTTTCTAAAAAACATGATGGAGGCTTGATATCGCTGCGCTCTAAAATCAACGCTGGCAACACCGCCAAAATTGAAGTTCTTCCTTTCCTGTTATTTCCGCCCAAGGGAAATCCTTTGCTAACGTCATAGTCAGCACTGGGCCAATTTTGGTAGGTCGATCACAGCGGCGCTTTCGATCACGTACGTCGCCAATAGGTGTAGTGGAGGAAGCTTCGACGGCGCCCCATTAGCCGTGTGAAGCCAAAAGTGCAGACTGTCGAGAGTGCCGCTGTTGTCGAAATCCGGAAAACATGGCTACAGTAACATGGCATATTGCGTCGGGGCAGGCGTAGGCGCACGCTCGTGGCTTTAGAAACCGTTTTGTGCTATGCATGAGTGCACATCCAGGGGAAACATTTTACATGATCAAACTCTTGCGCCTAAGCGCTTGACAGAGCTGTTAGCAACATGTGAAACGGGGCAGAACGTCGGCAAGTATGAAGTTGTGATTTTTTTTTTTTTTGATTAAAAAACAAAAGCTTAAAGATATGGAGGATACGCTTAAATAATCTGCGTGGGTTGGCAAAACAAAAGCTTAGTTTTACACAGTGCACAAAAAATCAAATCTGCTGGCGTAGATCCAACGCTGGACCAAGTCTTGCATTTGTTCCAATAGCTTTGGTAGCAATTTTTAAGTATAAAACGAAGGAATACCTTCCCAGTTAATGATTGGCGTTCGATAGCATTTCGCCAGGACCGCTGATGACATCGGTGCCCACGCTCGTTTTTGTGGTACAATGTTATCCTGTCTGCGCTCGTCTCATGCATTTCTTAAAATTACAAATATATTGTCAGTCCATATTTTATGATCTAGTGCAGAATGTGGTATGGATTTATCAAAACGTAACTCACAATAAATAACAAAAATGCAAGTTCAGATTTTTTTGACGACATACCTCTACCCAATCTAAGTTTCTGTATTCGTTTTCGCCTCAAGAACCAGAGTAAAAAGAGTCCGGCTCCTCGCGGTTCATTACTAATTTCCCCTTTATGTGGAGAACTAAGATATATGAGGGTGCATTTTAGATAAGATGTGTGTGATCTTATCAAGACGTACACGGTTTCAAACACCAAAAGCATCGCTTTTCCCTCCGATAACCTAGTCTTGTAAGAACTACTTCGCGCGGCGTAGGAACATGGAGCAAAACTTCCTTTTTTCTTGAGGTGAAAACGAGTATAGACTATCTAGACGGCTGCCACCCCAAAAGCATCAATGTCCAGGGCTTTAAACCATAGAGTTACTACAATAAACGCTAGAGGCCCAGCTAGTGTTAGCGCTTACGGGACTTCCGGTTGCAAATTGAAGCAGACAGCAACCAGTCTACTTTTTCAGTCCTCCTGGGAAAACGTACGTGATATCTTTCTCCTCCCGAAGGAATGATAGAAATCAGCGTAGTTTATTTACTCGCAACGGGTACTATGTGCCATTAATCACATTATAGAAGTGAACTTTATTTAGTTTTTTTTTTTCTATTACTGAGCGATGTTTAAGTTAGCGAATATTGAGGCCAAGGTCTATGTTGTACAGCATGATATGTCACTACAAGCTATCGATTCAAGCAAAAAGATCAATTAAAAAGTGCGTATAGGCTTATTCAATCTGTAATAGCATTCAGA